AGTCCCAATGTATGCCGGTTCACAAGCACATTGGTATCTAACCGTGGGAGATTGAATCATAGAGCACGTTCCGCCATTTCGACATGGGTTGGAATTACAAGGACTTTCTGAAAGGTAGTCGATCCAAAAGATTACCTTTTTGGCAAGGGATCCACTTATAGCGAACAAAATTGAAAAAAGTAAATTATTCTTAAAAATAATCACATTTTTTTACAAATATTATAAAATGTAAAGAATGAAAAGTTTGCATGGATTTCGAATATCTGTTCAGTTTATTTCTAGAATTCATAGCCAATTTATTTTACTTTATAGCCAGGAGATGGTTTACACGTATACATTTGAATCCCTTAGTCAAACTATCTTTCAAGAGATTCCAGTCAGAGTTTGTTAACTATGACAATGTGAGTAATGCTTAGAACCTCAATGCGTTTGGATTTCGATGATTTATTTTCGACCGAACACATCCGACTATGTCGATATGGGATTGCACTATTTTCATGCTAGGAAAATATATACAAATTATGAAAATAAATAAAATTCCTTAAAGACTGGGATTTCTTAAGATCGCACCGAAAACCACATCCGAAGTGTAAACGGGCCCTTATAAAACCATTGGGGCCCCCCTTCAGTACCCTCAATTAGTGATAGTGAAAACCTCTCAAAAGCCAGCCAAGCTAATCGTGTCCTAAAATGCGATGAATCCACGCACGGCGGCACACTTTAGCCACAGAATACCTATCAGAAGAATAACTCTATACTATTTTTTCGTAAGTGTGATTCGTCATGATTCGTCACTTAACAAGTGCATTTTTTTTGAGGTAGTCACCCCCCTGCCAATGTCTAAAATCAGGCCATTTTTAGTATTGGAAGGGGGGTGAGTGCCTAAGAAAATGCACTTGCTAAGTGACAAATCATGACGAGTCACACTTACGAAAAAAGTACAGGAGTTCTACTTCTGATAGGTATTCTGTGCTTTAGCTTCACACTTTAGTACTCTTATACGTTTCGGTTCCACGTTTCTGCCACAGATTCATACCTATTTCGCAGTTTGTGCCATAAAACCCGGAGGAACATGAACAACGAAAATTCACCCAAATCAAATACCACTTCTCATCACACGTGCCACCATTTAAACACGTATTCTGTCGACATCTCCCGGACGTCCCTAAACAAAACAAATTTCCTGAATACAACTTTGACCTGAACGCAACCTGACTGGTTAATAGCCGTGCTTCCATAGGATTTGCGAATCGCCCAACCATCCCACGCACATATGGTTGTTCACAATTCCTTCCTAATAGTTTTGTAGGGAACAAAATAGGAGCTTGTCTTACATTGGTTGGAGCAATGAGAGTAAGAGGCCAGTACTAGCAAACACAACAACTCTGAAGAGAAGTGAACGACCATGTTACCTGCAAAGACACAAATGTGAGATTCAAAGAGCCGATCTTAAATCAAAGAACTCGGCTTTTTCTGTAATAAAATGTTAAAAAACAACACGATACTGGTTAATTATTCATATTTTAAAAAGTATATTAAGTGACTATGCTGAATGTGCACTCTTGTCGTATATTATAACTCGAATTCGCAGAACAACTGCTAATTGTAAATAAGTAATCAGTGTTTATAAGATACTCTGCAATCTGATTGGTCGAGATACTCATCGTATATCAGCTCATATACGGTGAGTGGCAAAAACAAAATAGCCGACAGTTTTACTCGGGAGTGATAAAGAAGAAAATAAAATATTTTTGCGAGACTGAATTTCCCAAAGCAACTTAACAAAATATAAGATACGAATATTTGGGGTAAGTAGAACTGAGAAAATGCAGCTTTTTGTTCATGAAAACGATTTTATGCAATCCTTATTTCGTTAATAAAATGGTACTTATATATAGTAGCTATATTATTATAAAACATTCATAGTAGCTATATGTTATAAAAAAGTTTACACCGGCCGTTAAAAAGTAGTTAGCCCAATCTTAAAAAACACACAATTATATGATACATTAATGTACATTTACTTATAATAAAGCCAATTTGCTTGACTTCGCGAGTTATGAGATGCGACAATCATTCTGAATTTTCTTTAAAAAATAGTAAAGTCGATAGCGCACCGGATTAACAAAATTAAATTTTGCACCAAGAAATAGGACGGCAGCACTTGCTAGACAATTTTGTTCTTTTTTAATAGTAAGCTTTTCTTTAGAAACCCCGGAAATATTCCCAGCATTCAGAGTAAAGGAAATTGCAAAAAAGGGTTGAACACTTAAGTCATGTCCTTCAATGAATTTGATATAACTACACGTAGCTATTTTACCTTTCTATTGTTTGAGATATCACTCTACCTTGCATATAGATATTTTCACATTTTGAGATTTGGAAATTAAAGTTCTTGCAGATAAATTCAATTCAATGTCGAACAAATTGATTTATAGCTTATATAACTCGTATATTTGATAACAACCTCTATGCCTTTGCCTTTGGGTATAGTTTGTTACAAATGCATACATGCTGACTTTAATTAATTAACTACAAAAGAAAACAAATTCTGAAATCTAAACACAATTCAGTTGATATGGTATGCCACTGTATGACTTCTTAATCATAATATCTATAAACTTGACACTTTACAGAGCAATAATTATATATAATGACTGCGTGATGGGTGAACATGTCAGACATGCAAAAGGGTTTGTTATCAATTTATCCTTAGCAACAGCTAGCACTATCAATGATTTAATTTTTAACGTCCGAATGCTCAGTTAAATAACGATGTCTGCACCATAAACCTTTTGCCCTTGTTGCAAGTACATCAATAAAATTAATAATCATAATATATGTGTAATATACATGTATACTTTAAAATGGAATACAAGATTCCAGCAGATTCAAGTTTGCTAGGACACCTGTTCCCTGATTGAATTTAAAAGCACTGACATTAGCATACTAAAAATGATAATTCCCACTTACCCAAGCCTCACTTGAAATGTTCTTACATCGAAAAATGACTTAAAATCAAAACAATCCGAGTTAAAAATAATCAAACACAAAGTCCTTGGCGAGAACGCAAAGTTGCCGCAATAACAAAGTAGCCGTTCTAAGTTCAAGCAATAACTTATTAACAGGTGTTCGCACAAGTGTGTCAATAGAACTGGCCGGGTGCCATAGCAACGATACTCACTTAAGAAAATAAAGACCTGCGGGATGAACCTATATTTGGAAACGCCAAACACTTGCAATAATTTATTAGCTAGTTGACAAATCATAGCGAGCAAAATGCGTCGCGTGCACTTAGTGGTTTTAAGTAAAACCAAACACTTTCCCTTGTTTGTTTAACTGTGCCTGAAAAGGGATCAATAATTGAGGTAGCCTAGTACGTTAAATATTTTTTTATTTTGAAAAATATAAAAATATTTTCATGACATATTGCAAAAAAAGTTCTCTGAGTGAAAAAAGACTTGTAGGAATCTCTAATCTAATCTACTTAACCAGATCAAACACATCCATTGGTGGAAAATAGACGATTTTTTTGAACACGATAATAAACTAGGTTTTAACGTTAGAACGACGGACTTAGTTTTATTTAGTGCTGAATATTTTTGCCTCGGAGCAGAACCTCAAATAAATAAAACTTTTTCAGTATTAAACGTTTTACAGGCTGTAAAAATAAAACTTCTACGATCTATCTAAAATAAACAGTCGCTATTTTACTTAGACAGAACAGAATACAACACTTTTAGGTTCACGTTCGAGCCAATTGTCTTTAAAGTCATGAAAATTTTATCAAGTTAGCTTTATTACTTTTTTAATTATCGTGCACGAAAGTAAGGGAATGAGAATTTTAGTTTGGTAAGAAAAGCGACGAAAAGAGTTTTGCATATATTCATAAATTATAGAGAGCCAATGGACCTTTTTTGTTAGCTCGGGGTAAAACCCTAGTTAGTAAAACTTTTCGTTTATTTTTCTCGCGTTCTTTATACAGTTTTTTGAGAAAAGGTATTTAGGATCGATTACGGAAACATTCAAGTTTGCGTCCCTGGAAATTTTAAAACAGGATAAATCGTGATTTGAAATGTACTAGAGTAGACCACCTTCATTGCAGAAAATTCGAAAGAATTGTGTGTTTAAGTAGTAGTTATGCATTCTGATTGGGTTAATGAAAATATAAACAAACTTGCTGATTGATCTAAAACGAACTTCCTGCTTGTTTAGTCAAACCGGATGTACTGTTTGCGAACAATGCAATATTGTGACGCAATGTTGCAATTTTGACTGACAAGTGTAACAAGTCAGTTGTAAACGGATTGCCATAGAGTATGAGGCAATTAAGTAGAGTAAAAGAGTAATTAGACGGTTCATTGCGTGCAAAATTCACGAAAGTCAAAAAGCTTACCGTGATAACCGGTAACTACCTAAAAATATTACACTAAAAATGACCTTACGATAATGACCTTACGCAAATGCCGCACAAAAATCTCAAAAACGACATAGCATCCAGCCGTGACGTCACCATTAGGAAGCGTTCTCCTTCGTCGAACGCAATAAAGTATATTAAGTAAATCCATTCATAGAATCATTAAATTTTATATTAATAATCTTAAATGGTAATTTAAATATTAATAAGGACAATTGCAACTAGATTACTAGAAAGTATGCCGCATTTTAAAGAACGTTGTAAATTTTCTCGCCTAAAAAGATGCTTGATTCATGTAATACTTTGACAACGAGCTGTCCGCCATCTTGGATTTTGTGGACTGCTATTTCTAGAATATGATATAATGCGCAAATTTCAAAACCATTTTGGTTCGCTGCCATAAAATTTATTAGATCTAGAATTTATCTTCAGAAAAGAACGAAATGGGCAACTTTGGGTGACTTTCCATATTAATATCTTGAAGGATCAATTGGTTGATTAAAATTAGGATTAGGTGTTAGGATTGAGGTTAGGATTAGGTTTAGGATTATGATTAACTTTATTAATTAAAGTTCAGATTATTTACATGGAAATTGGCCCACGATTTTAGATAAGTTGCACCAGATCAGTGAGTTAAACTTGTAACTAGAAATTACAACAAAAAAATTAAACGTTCTTTTAAACAAAACACCACAAATGGTGCGATTTTAGAAAAAAAAGTTAAATGTACTTTGCTTCAATAATACAAGCCTGTTTAAAAGCCAATCGACTTTGTTTTAAAAGTGAATATTAGATAACCATATATAGACGATAATTTGGTACAGAATCCGCTAGATGTCAAATGTACCTTAGCTATTCAGTGCTGTGTTGAGATCAGTGCAGTTACATCTGTAAAAACAAGTAGATACAAGTTTTACGACTACATAGCATCGTCTTCCTGTATTAAGGAGGTCTGACTATGATGACTCCTCGACGAGGAACGGTCCTGCATTGGAAACACCTGACTAGACTGGACATCACCTCCCTTTCTTAAAGAGGTACGACTCTGATTAGTTCGGGATGCGGAACGGTCCTGCATTGGAAACACCTGACTAGACTGGACATCACCTCCCTCTCTTAAAGAGGTACGACTCTGATTAGTTCGGGATGCGGAACGGTCCTGCATTGGAAACACCTGACTAGACTGGACATCGCCTCCCTCTCTTAAAGAGGTACGACTCTGATTAGTTCGGGATGCGGAACGGTCCTGCATTGGAAACATCTGACTAGACTGGACATCACCTCCCTCTCTTAAAGAGGTACGACTCTGATTAGTTCGGGATGCGGAACGGTCCTGCATTGCTAACACCTGACTAGACTGGACATCATCTTTCTCCATTAAAGAGGTACGACTCTGATTAGTTCGGGATGTGGAACGGTCCTGCATTGGAAATGCTTGACTAGAATGGACATCGTCTTCCTCCATTAAGGAGGTACGACTATGATTAGCTGGCGATGGGGAACGGTCCTGCATTGGAAAGACTGGAGAAGACTGAACATTATTTTCCTCGCTCACAGGGTTAAGATTCACATGACTTTGTGATGGAGAACATTCCTCTACAATTGGAACGACCTGACCAGATTTCTTCTTTCGGAAATCATTAAAGGATGAAATGGAAGACTGACGGGGCGATGTGTACGACTCATCTTTGTCGAAAGCCGTATTCACTTCGGGATTGACCCGTGTCCTCGATCTCCGAAGGTCGAAAGAAATAAGCGATCTAGTTGGATGGAGTCTTGCTCTCTCGGCTTTGTAAAGCCACGTGCTCTTACGCTCACGAATTTGTTTATCTCTCAGAGCCGAAATCTGCTGTTCTAAGGATTTGGAAAAATCCTCCAGTGACTCGCGACCCTCCGTTCTGAGGTATTCTGCGACTCGGAATGAAGGAATACTGTCTTCTGCGAAGGTAAATACGAAGAATTTAAGATCTTATTGCACTCCGTTAAAAAGGAATTATATAGTAAAATCATCGTTAGGAGAGAGTCTGAGAAAGAGAGAAGTTTAAATTTAAAAGTTTTAAAACAAAAAATTTAAGAGCGATTTTATTATTCGTCATTTATGTGAATTTTAATTGTATCGAACCGATTTCACTTTGTAATTTTAAAGTCAATTTTAACCTTTTAAAAATCTTATGCCTTTTAAATTTGTAAAATCCTATACCTTTTTTGTAAAATTTTCAGCCATATAGTAATACTTAGGCAGCACGTTTTAATTTAATAAACCTATTTATCTATCTATGTAAGAGAAGAAAGAATCAGAACTTAATTTATTTAACGCCAAACAAGCACACTTCTGCGATTCAAACCGAACTCTAACTGCCATAAACGTTGATGCATGCGACAGCAAAGAACATTTTGGTACAAAATTTGCGAAGAAAACATTTTCAGGTCGTTCCAGGAGAAGACAACATGAGTACTGAAACTGGAAGTTATGACCCGTCGTCATACGAACTTTCATCACAATTCTACGACACAAAAATAGCGCGAGGAAAAAGAAAACTCACCCAGTTTCTCTCTTTTACTTTGCTTCTCTTTCTCCTTTTTCTTGTACCTTCCAAAATGCCATATCAAGCCGAGGATAATTGCCACAGCCAACAAACTGATGGTCACTTTGAGTGACTCTTGAAACGCTTCTGCCGAGGGATCGAATAAACCAGACGATTTCTCTTTGGCTTCATCAGCCTCGTTTCTATCCTGTTGTAAAAACATTCGCGATCTTAACCCTGTTTACACCATACCAGTACCATATTCACCTGGTCACAACTTCAGTTTAAGTTGTTTTATTTTATCCCAGACCAGTTAAAGCAATCATGCTATCACACTTTTGGAGTTGAAACTCGCTTTAACATGGCTAACTTTGATCTCGTGACCAAGGAAATCCGGTATAGTGTAAACAGAACTTTAGGATTGACACGATCAAATAAAAGACAGCAAACAAAAATTTAAGCTTCATATACGACCATTAAGGAAGAAACTCCGGACAGGAGTTGATTTGGAAAGTTCTGTACAGAACGCAACATGTAAGATATGAACATAAGATAAAATAATGCAACTCGTTGTTCTAAACAGGAATAAACGACGTCTTAAACGCCTGTGGAAATTTAATCATCAACTTCTACTCTTTGCAGTTGAAATTGCCGTCTTGTCAGTCGTTGTCGCTCATGCTTCCGTCTTAAATATTTCTTTTTGTTTAATTGCTTTTTTTAACAAAATTTTCAAAGGAATGAATTGGAAAGGAATTGGCACATTTCCCGGACATTTCAACGAATAAAATTCGTCAAAAATAATCTTGTGTACTGTCCCCTAGTGAACTAGCAAAAAATCCTCTAAACTATATGTATAAAAAATTACTCCCCCATTATGTAACCAAAGCAAAAGAAAGTTTTAAAGCGCAATTCTTCAGACTTACAAGAGATATGGAATCTGTATTTTCGTCGACAATTAACGAAATCTTGGTCTTTTGGGCAGCCAGAGCTTGGCGGAATAATGGCGCGGCTTTCGCCATGTTTCCAGACAGGACAAAACCGTAACCAGTTGGATATTCTATCAGACGATTCAACTGGATATCACCTCCTTCAAACATACTTTTCTTAGTTGCCGCAGCGTACATGTCAAGTAAAGCTCCTGACACCTCCTTGTTGTGCATTGCGTTGATCAAATCTTCCATATTGTTGTAAGGAACAACTGAAAATGTGTCAAAGTGGAAATGCAATGAGGCTAAATGTTATAGAATAATTATTGCCACGTTGCCAAAAATGCTTTTTTTGTGTGTTTCGAAAGACGAAAGCAAACTTAATGGAGTTACGGCCCTGAACAGATTGTCCCGAGAATGCCATTGTCTTATTATTCCTGAATTATCTCCGATCCAGGAAGGAGGGGAATGTGTTCCCCAGGTAAACCTTATACGGTTCATCCTATTCAAACTATCATCTTTATCACTTAAGACGCCTTATAAAAAAACGCCTTACCATCTGCATTCTGTCTAACTGCCTTTGAGTATTCAGCAGAATTTACAATAGCCCCGACCTAAAAGAAAGTTGCAGTTAACTACACAATGAATTCACAAAGACGTTGATTGTAGATGCCATTCTTGAATTATCGCAAAAATACTGCTGAATTCGAGCTAGATTTCTGATTTCTAAGCGATTGCTCTCGTTGAGGAACAACTTCAACACAATTTCACAAGATCATTAACCGTTACCTTTTTCAACACATCAAAAGCAGGGAGGTTAGATATCACTTCAGGTAAGCGAGATCATATGAAAAGTCGCCCTAACTAGGGAATATGTGCTCAAAGGGTTTCTTGAATTACCTGTGCGCCATAAATTTTGTCTTCTTGAATAACCAGGACTGACGTAATCGAAGTGACGATCCCCCCCGTGACGATCGAGATAATCACGAGACCCATTAGAATCCAAACCAAAGCAAACAGACGACCGGGCACAGTAACTGGACTGCGATCACCGTATCTGAAAACAATTTATGTACATGCTAAAATCACAAGCCTTTAGGTGAGTTTCTGAAGGATTGGGATTAAAGTAATACTCGCGTATTAGGTTTATAAAATAGGATATTTAATTTTCAATGTGGGAAGTGAACCCATCTCATCATATCAGTAAAGAAATAAACTTACCCAACAGTTGTCATGGAGATATATGCCCACCAAAATCCTTCTGGAACCCCCTTCGTAAACGATTCTGGGAAATGATCGTTGTTTTGTTTACGTTCCTAAGAAAATAAAATGAAAAAATTCGATCAAATTCATCTTAAAAACATTTTTATAGGCCAACAAATTGAAGGCGTTTTCAGAAGGTGCCACCTACATAACACTATTACTGATGGAATATTCAAGGTGGATACATTTCCAGCACTCACCAAGATCCAAATGATAATCCCAGCGATCCACGCGAAGAAAATCATCAACATAACCAACGGCATACACGCCACGGCCGCCTGGACAACCACTGTGGCAGTTGAGGGGACATTTTTGACGGTGAAGTACGCCGAACCGGGTGCATCCACGACAGAAATATACGGAAACACTCCACCATAGGTTGTCATAAATCTATTACCCTGCACGGGAAAACTGACCTCAACATTTCCGCCAATATCTGTTGAAACGGATTGTAAACTGTTTTTTTGATAACTGTTTCCTGATGAACGTCTCCTTCGCCGTTTCTTGTCGCAACCCTCTTCGTAGCAAAACTCGGTTTTACCATGACCGTTTTCGCAAACACCACACATGTCGTCTAAAACTTTTCTCGTTACTAAGAAGAAAATACCGCCGGGCGAATTGGGATTGCTCATGTTTGTGTAGGGAGGTAAAACCCACCAATTGGAGCGAAGGTACTTTGGACAGCGGCATGTTTCTACAATAGAAATCATGGTGAACATTGAGGCCACCGAACATAGAGGAGATAGTTTTCAGAGTTTAAGATGCAATGATAATGAGATATTTAGTTTAGCAAAGAGGAAAATAAAGTCGTTTCCTTTACTTTTCCTTACAAAATAAACGGCGGTATTACAGCTCAAGTGAGGATAAACTACGGGCTCGTATTTACAACATGACATATTAACTTACTCCCAATGCAAAAATATTCTAAACCTCCATATCTATACCACTACCATAATTCTATCTCAGCCGAATGGAAGGACCCGAATAAAGTACGTACCAGAAGCTGAGGCGTTGCTTTTCGAGCCGTTCTTACTGGTATAGCCAAAGATACTGATCTCGTAGGTAGAGCCAGGGTCAAGGTCTTTGAGCACGGTTGCGTAACGATTTCCTCTGACTCTCTTCGACTGAACAACTCGTTTGTCGGAAGGTATGACCTCTCCAGCCAAAACTGTTGCGGTGTATTCGACGTAGTAACCACGTAAGATACCGTTATGATATTCAGCTGGGATTCTTGTCCATTCCAGCTCTATCTCTGTGATGTGTTTAAGCGTAGACATTTTGATGTCTTCTGGGGGATATTCCGGACCTGAAATAAATCATACACGTATGTCATTGAATGCGACGTCCCTACAGAGAAACTAGTCATTTTTGGCAGCTTGTTGTAGAGCAAATGAAAAAACCAGAAAACAAATGCAAAAACAATTTTTTGAGTCACGTTCTCAGATATCAGCTAATTCTTACCGTCTTCCCCAGTGGAGTTTATGTGACCTGGAAGATATCGTGGGCCTTCACCCTTTTTGTTCACAGCGCTCACCCAAATGGTGTAGTTGGTAAATTTCTTCAGACCTTCGGCGTAGTAAGATCTTTCAGGATGTGGAATAATCTTGGACACGATCACATTACCAGGATTTTTAGTCTCGATGACAGTCAGTTTGTAACCAATTAGAATGCCGTGCGCAAAATTGGGTAGGACTGGATCCCATTCATACGACATGCTGGTCGTTGTCAAGGCAACGCCACGAATATTCTCAGGGTAACGGCTTGGAACTAAAAGTGAAATACCAAGGGATTCATGGATTTTGAAAAACATCACCTTTCACTATATTTAAGCTTCATCCAGTGTATTTTGAGATCAGTTCTCAATACTGCTCAATACCCGTTTAGTGTAATAACCAACCTTCTTCATCAGTCTGAACGCCGATATTCAAGGTCACTCCAGTGCCTATCTTTGTATAACCACCAATGTATATATCATACCACCACCACCAGAACAGTCCAGTCAAGTGACACTCCAGATGATTTGGATCAGATATTGGAATCTCAATCACTTGTTGTTTTCTGGTCGTATCTGCAGCACGATAATAAACACGATATCCAAGAAGAGTGCCTTGATGGTGCTGGGGATCTATGGCCTCCCATTTGAGATAAATACTTGAGGAGCTGGTGTTTCTACCTTCGACCAAAGCGGGTCCTTTAGAAGGAGCTGGAAGAGAAGATATGATTTAGCAGGCAATACGTACCTAGAATTGTTTCTTTCAATTCTTTGAACAGACAGGAAGACAAACAAACAAACGCCTAGATAGCTGAGAGTAGACACAGACAGAAAAAAAGGAAGAGAAAGACAAAGCGACGGCAAGACACACAAAAAAACAGACTAACTACTCACTTGACTCTTCCGTAGTGATGGATATTGGTGAACATTCCGGACCATCCCCAACACTCGTATAGGCCAGAACTTTGACTTGATATTCAATAAGGAACTTGAGGCCAGTGATATTTACTTTTCGAATATCAGCGCCCTCCACATTCATCCATTTTACCGGCTCACCAGTAATCCCGTATGACACCTTGTATCCTTTTATGACCCCATGTCTTGCTTCGGGTCTCACTTCGTCCCATGTGAGAAGCACGCCAACTGTGGACGTCATAGCTGTTGCATTCACATTCTGTGGCGGTTCACTCGGAACTATTTGGGATAAAAAGCTATATCACAAACCAATGTCATACACCGCACAAAACGCACTCCACGTGCTGCAAAAAACGCAAATGAAATTACAAGACGAATAGTCAGACAGACAGAATGGTGATGTATGACGACATACCATACTCCAAGGTGACAAAACTTGTACTAGCTTCTTCTCCACATCCGGGCGTTGTTTTGGCAGACACGTAGACATAATACTTCGTAAAATGATCCAAACCAGTAAGAACGGTCTGCAGTTGTTCAACGTCGGTGACATTATGAGTGTTACTGGTTGAAGCTCCTCTTGCTTTATATCTCACGCAGTAGCCTCGTTGAATGCCGTGCCAATATTCCGAGCTCACT